ACTCAACAAACATTTGTCCAAATGAATGAATGAATAAGTGGGTGAATGAATGCTTTGGCTGGGGAGTTAGGAAATTCTCTTCCTCCCATGGAGATTGGAATTTCACAAATGGAAAATGAAGAGGGCAATTCTTCACCCAAAGAAATGATTTGTGGTGGAAATGGGGGGCAGGATCCCCAAAATGCCAGCACGCAGACACCTTGTATTGTCAATGAAAGCTCTGCGCACCCCTTACAGAGGAACTTGTAAAATACACAGGTAATGGCCTCAGCCATCTCTCTCCATTCAATGTGAGCAACATTGGATCCCCAACATCTAGCAGGAGGCTTGGCCCACAGTAAAAAGTACACGAAGGAAGGAACCAGGACACCGAGGGCTCTGCAGGCTTTGGGGGAGGTTTTCAGAGAGCAGGTGGCATGGAGCAGCTGCCCCTGGTCTTACAGAGAGAGGATGGAGGGGGGCACACTGGTGACACGGAAATGGACCCCGAGAGACGAGACAGCATCTTCTGAGAAGCCTGGGAAAGTTCCAGGAAGCCACGCCGATGGGAGGAGCCTCAGCCACAGGGTTCATCTTAAAATGACAGTGCTCACTGAACTCTCCAACTGAGCTCAGTTTTGTCTATCTTTTTAAAAAATATATGTTGTTATTGATTTCAGAGAGGCCCTAAATCAAACTACAGGTGTCCTTATGAGAAAAAGGCAGAGGGGTGGGTGAGACCTGTGCACGCAGAGAAGCATGGCCTGTGAAGACAGAGGCAGAGACTGGAGTGACGCAGCCGTAAGCCGAAGGACACATGGGACCCCCCGAATTTGGACAGGCAAGGAAGGCTTCTCCCCTAGGCCTTCAGAGGGAGCACAGCCCCGCCAACACCTGGATTTCAGATTCCTGGCTTTCGGAGCTATGAGAGACTCGATCTCCACTGTTTAAAACCACCCAGCTTTTGGGCATTTGTTAAGGCCGCCCCAGGAAACACACACACCTGCAACCACACACCCCACCATAAGAGAGTTCAGCCGGGGTGAATTTACCCAAAGCCTTGCAATTAGAAACCAGAGAAGGGTGCAGCTCTCCTTTCAGCATACGTGCCAGCTTTGGGTTTTAGAGTTTTGTGTTCTTTCTATTTTGATTCATAGATATGGGCTGTGTATCTTGTTAGTATTTTGGGGCCTTGAAAGATCTTAATGTGTCTCTGGGAAAGGGGAGAGGAGGAGGAAAGTGAGCAGAGAGAGAAACAGAGGAGAAAGGGAGAAAAAAAGAGAGAGAGCGAGAGAGAGAGAGAGAGCCAAGGGGAGAGGCAAAACCCATTTTGATCTGGCCAGAACCTCTGGGTGTCCGGCCAGTTAAAGAAGACGTCAGAGGAGAAAAGACCGGGGATGCTCTCTCGCTCCAGCCAGGTGGGAGCCCGGCTGCCTGAGAAGCAGGCTGGTTAATGAGGAAGTTATCCTGTCAAATGGAGGAAGGGCCTCTCTCCCCCAGAGCCGTGGTGGGTGGAGGAGCTGCCAGTCATGGGGCTCGGGCTTTGTCTGGGGACTTCCTCTCTGAGAGGAGCCTCACCACCTCCCACACAACAGCCAGCCTGCTGGCTTGTCAAGGGCAAAGCTGATGGGAATGACATTGACCATGGGGGGCAGTGGCCAGGGAAATATACCTGCTGCAGGGCAATTTGATGAGAGTTGTCACAAAGCCAGAGCGGACAGGGCAGAAAGGAGCTAATGACGGGGGCTGAGAGGCCTCTGGGCCTTGGCATGGTGTGGGTCTCAGGGGAGGCTACGTGGTGGGGGGCAATGGAGGTGCCAGATGCCTCCTGGGCCACAGAAATGAAAACCTGGCGTCCTAGGGTTCTTCGGCCTCGTGGGGAAAAGGAGGAGCAGGCTCTCTCAGACCTGTGATCTCTGCAGGAAACTGTTCTCAGAAAAATACACTGAATGACGAATAAAACCTTCCCATTGGGCAGGAAACAAATTTCGAAATGTCCCTTGGCCCACACCAGGGGGCAAGCATGGCTAGCGAATGAAGGCAGAGACTGCAGAGCTGGACAGACCTAGATTCAAATTCTTCCTCGCAGGTAGCACCATTCTGAGACTCTCTTTGGCATGTTGATGCCCCCGTGCCTCAGTTTCCCTGTCTGCAAAATGGAGATAAGCATAGTGCCTACCGCACAATACCGATCAGAGGATTTTAAACGACAAATGTTTAACCTAGAACCTGGCATGTAGCAAGTGCTTAAAAAATGGTGGCTTTAACATTATCCTCTTTATCTTTTATATTTGTTGTTGTTATTAACAGTCCGGAATTAGCACTGACATTGGCTAGGTGTACTCTTACACAAGTTACCTCACCTCTGTGAAGCCTCAGTTTCCTCATCTGTAAATGGGACAATAATTCTGACTTTGCAGGGTTATGACGATTACAAGACATTATTATGGATGTGAAGACTCCATGCAAGGCAGACAATTAATAAACATTGATTCCTTGCTTTTCACAGGAGGCCACCCGGCCTTTGGGGTGGAATGTGTGAGGCTGGACCTGGAGTCTGAGACACAAGGAGCTTGGAGACCATCCAGGAGTGAACACCATTGGTCCACTTTGGGCCCACCCCCCCAGAGTTAGCAGCCAATGGCAGCATCGTCTCTCTGCCCATCTCCTTCTGGTTTTTCCTGGTTTCCAGCCTGGCCCACTGGCACCAGATTCTAGCCTCTCTCCAATCTCAAACCCTCCAGCACAGAACCAGCGCAGGACCACACTCACCAGCTCCATGCACCTGCGGCTGGCCTCCGCCTCCCGCTCTACCAGCTCCTGCATGTCCGCCTTCAGCTCCTCCAGGCGCCGCTGGTAATACTGGCTGCTTTCTCGCTGCTGGGCCTCGGCTGTGGCTGCCTGCGAGAGCTCCTCGCCCATCTTGATCAGACTGTCCCGAAGCCGGATCACCAGGACCTGGAGGGGGGTGGAGAGCACACGCCCACCTTGGGGTTAGAGGCCCATGGGCAGGAAACTGGGGGTTCCAGGAAGGGAAATCCTTTGCGGAGCCACTGTGTACTTTTATAATCAGGATAATTATTCTGATTCCTGATACAAAAATGAAGACTTGACTTTGAAAACCTAGGAAACTGGCCCATGTGGCTCAGGGATGGAGCATCAATCTATGAACCAGGAGGTCAGGGTTCAATTCCCTGGTCAGGGCACATGCCCGGGTTGTGGTCGACCCCCATTAGGGGGTGTGCAGGAGGCAGCCAATCAATGATTTTCTATCTCTCTCTCTCTCTGAAATAAACACACACACATGTATCCAGGACACCATAACTGCTATTCTGAGAGGCAGTGTAGTATACTGATGCAAACCCTGCCTCTCAGCATGATCTGGATTCAAATCCCAGCTCTACCCTTCCTGGCTGTGAGACCTTAGGCAGGTTATTCAACCCCTCTGAGAGATGGGCATGGAACACTGTCAGGACTGCTCACATTAAGTCATGCAGAAGGCTGAGCTCAGTGCCTGGCACATCAGATATCTGGATATGGGCTGGGAATTGTTCCTATTTATAGCAGCCTTCATTCATCTCAAGGTGTGGGAGGTGGAATGGTCAGTGGAGAAAACACTAAACCGGGGAACAAGCCCTTTCCCAACATGGGTTTTGGTTTTCCCCAATATGCAAAACAGGGAGGTTTGAGGAGTAACTTCCCATGAGCCTCAGCTCTATTATTTTATGGCACGTTCCCTTTCCTGGGGGGAGAAATCCCACAAGGTCACAATGAAACAATAGAGGGAAAAGAGCTGTGGGCATCACCAGTGCTACAGAAAACAAACCCAGGGCTGTTGTGCAGAATTCATTAGTTGGCCAACAAGCCTGGAACCAAATGATTCTGATGGGTAAATACTAAAGTGTTGACATAAAACGAAGCCCACATGAATATTTCAGGCCCTTGCTGAGGACTCAGAGCCCCTTTCCAGATCAGAGGCTGAAGATAAGCTTTATTATTCACTTCTCCTTCGTCCTGCAAATGGAGTTTAAGCAACATTTTCCAAGGGCAGTAGGCGGGTTATAAAGAAGTAGAGTTCTCAAACTGTGTCCCTGAGGTACCCCATCTCAAGGACCAAGTTCAAATACACTTATTTGAATGAGATTGAATCTGCCATTTAAAGTTACTCTCCCATAGATTTCTTTTCTTCTCTGCTATCACATGACTATGCTGGAATCAAGTAAAAAGAGATACATGATCTAGCCCAACATGATGTATTTAATTATTTAAAATGTAGCAGATCAAAGTTTCGAGGTGATCTGCAAAGACATATGCCTTAAGGAATTCCCCGAGAAGTTCTGAGAACCACTGAGGGTCAAGACAAAGAAGAATCTGTCTTTGTTCTTCATCCACAGCAGAATTCTTAGAAACCAAATGCCCAGGAGGAGATTGGGAGGGAACGTTTCCCAGTGAGAAACAGCTTCTCATTGTCCAGAGGCACTAGCATACTACTGGTCCGGTGGGGGAGCCAGCTGGCTGCAGAGAAATGGAAGCCTGGGACCAGGACGGTCAACTGTCCATCTGCTCCTGTCACTGACATGACCTGGCTGCATCATGAATAAATCACTTGACTTCTCTGGGGTCATCTTCTCATTCCATCCCACCGGCCCCATGGGGCTGCAGTGAATGTCAAGTGGAACAGCTGATATAGAAGGATTTGGACAATGACAATATCATCTGTAAAATGTCTCGTGTCATTGCCTAGAGGGTTAAATGTGAATAAAATCATTGAACTCCAGTTCTTCCAAGCTTTTCTGTCCTTCAAGGCCCAGCATCAATGCCACCTTCTCCTGGAAGCCTCCCTGATTCCCATCCTGAAAGCACCTCTGTCCTCCAAACCTCACAGCCCTCTCTCTATATACTATGGGTACTTATGTACACGTCGTATCCTCACCTCCTACAAAGTTTTATGCTCTGATCAGCGGAATCTGTTTCATACATCTATGCACACACCAGGTGCAAAGCAAATTTCTGCTCAAAATGAGTGTGGGGTGCATGAATGGATGAATGAGTAGATAGAGATGGCAGAATTAGAGCAATGGATAAAGAGATGGGCAGACAGGGGTCAAGGTCTGAAGAAAAAAACAGAGGAAGAGAAGAAAGAATGAAGAGAAGAGAAAAAGAACCCAGGGAAGGGGGATGATGGACGGACCAGTGATGGCATATGGAGTTGGCTACAGATAGATGGAGGTGGGTAGATTGGATGGATAGGTAGTTTGTGGAACAGTGTGGTTGAAGAAAGGAAGAAAGGAGGAAGGAGGGAGAGAAGGAACTCATACGGGAGGTGGATGAGTAATATATGGCCAGATAAAGGCATAGGCACGGATAGATGGACAGAGCTTATACAAAGGCCTCGCTTCTCTGGGCCTGAGCAATATTTACACATCAGCAAGTACCTCAAATCTCTTAATCTGCACTTTCTGGAACTCCGTCTTGTTCTCCAGGTCACAGATGACTGCCTCTTGCCTGCTGACAATGGCCCGGTCCACGGTGGACTGCTCCAGGTACTCGATGCGCAGCTGGGCTACCTGTAGCTGGGGACAGATGCAAGGGGTCCGTTGGCCACCTGTTGGCCCTGAGCCACACGATGGAAACACACACAGGCCTCAGCTCCAGGCCCCTTCACAGCTTCCTTCTCGGCTCAGGGGCTGTCTGGTGCGTGCACAGGAAGCACTGCCAGTTCCAATCTGAGGACCCTCATACCCGACCCGGCCCCTGGGTCTTAGGGCCTAGGAGGTGACATTTCCTGGGCATTCTGCCTCCAAAACAGGTCTTTTGATCAGTGCTTCTCTTATCTCCTTACCCTGCTCTGCTAGGAGAGCAAAGCCAGGCTGTGAGCAGCAAGCTTCAGCATCAAAGGATACAACCAAAGTGGGTTTGGGAGACAAGGCCTGTATCCGAGTTCAAAACCTGACTCCACCCCTTCCCAGCTGGATGGGCCCAGGCACATCAGCTCCCTTCCCCGAACCTCACTGCTCTGTTTTGTGTGCGAGGACTGAGGAGGTGAGCGCCTGGTATGTCATTAGCCCCAGCAACTGGCCCCCGCTGCTGTCCTCTTGTACTTGTTGTTACTCGGTGCCCATGGACACTGGCTTGACACTCAGTCCCTCTGACAGTCACTCTAAGCAGGCACGTGCGACAGTGCTGGGAGAGCTTTGAGAATTTCATGGATAAGAGCGATCCACCAACTAATGAAGGAAATCCAGGGGCATTTGGAGGAACCATGACTCAGAGGAAGATTTCACGAAGGATGACGATCCTGCCTAGACCAGAGCATCCCATCTCCTTGGAGCCATTTCTCAGCAGGAGAAAACCCTTCACTGAAACGTTGATGTGTCTCACGGCACAGGCATCTCTGGATGCTGAACGGGCACAGGGAAGAGTGTGTGTGTATGTGTGTGTGTGTGTGAGTCCGTCTAAGATGGCTCTCAATTCATTTGGCGCAAGACTGAAGTTGAATGAACGACAGTTCCCAGGGCCCAGAGTGTGAGGTCCTAGAGGGAACCCTTCTCTTCCTCCCCCACAACAGGGCGGCGCCCAGCACGTACTTGTTCCTGCAGCTTGTGCTTCTCCTTCTTGGCTTCCTCCAGCTGCAGCTGCAGTTCCTGGATCTGCCCAATGTCAGCAGCAGACTGGGGAGACAAAGAGATGCCACTTGAGAGCACAGGCTTTGTGGGGACACTGCCCCTGGTAATCCCTTCTTCTCCCGGGTGGGGGACACTGAGACCCACAGATGTCTAAATTTCTCAGAGTCTCTATGACAGTAGCCGGTTCCAAAGGGGTGCCTCTCACATCCTCCCCAGCATCCTTCATCTCAGCATTCACCAAGTCACTCCCATTAGATAAGCCCAGAGCCTTGGTCAACTGTCTACAACCTTATTATGCACCCTTGAGAGCCAAGGCAGAAACGGGCCGGTCACATTACTAGGACCAGATTCTGAGGGGAGAGAACTATTCTGAATGTCAGGTAACTAGGATTCCAGACCCAGATACTGGCCTTGACAAGCCCCAGAACCTCTCTGCACCTCAGTATCCCCATCTGTAAAATGGGCTGATCATCTCTGCTTAGCCCTTCTACAATGCAATGCATTTGTTCAGAGATTAAGTGAGGCAATGAAGAATAAAGTTTCTTTTTTAAAAAAAAAATAGAACCAAACTGTGAAGTGTGATTATCTCCATTTAGAAGGATTCCAGAGAGCAGAAGGACCCCTCAATTTCTATTTTCCACATGTGTTTATCATTGCAGTAATTTACAATGGGCATATGAATATGCTGCTTTTGTAATTGAACGAATAAAGAAACTTCCATTTTGAACAAAAGTGTAATTAACAATGCAGAAGATGGCCTAGGCTATTTTTGTGGCAGTTGTTATCATGTTGATGATATAATTGATTTTTTTTGTTGTTATAATTATTCCTTGTTTAGCAGAAATTCCTTCAGATCCAATCTCTGTAGGGTGCATTTGAAGCCTGGCAGGCATTCTACCCTGGATCTCCTCTGGGGGTGCCACGTGGGGGAGATGCTCACTGCTCTTGGAGGGAGCTGTTGTGAAGTTATGCAAATCAGATCAGCTATGCAGATCAGAAATCTGCCAGGGGTCCTCATCACATCCCTCCACTCCACCCAAAGCTTCTGGCCTGGCCCGTGTGGCTCAGTGATTGAGCACTGACCCATGAACCAGGAAGTCACTGGTTCGAATCCCAGTCAGGGCACATGCCCAGGTTGCGGGCTTGATCCCCAGTAGGGGGCGTGCAGGAGGCAGCTGATCAATGATTCTCTCTCATCATTGATGTTTCTCTCTCTTTCTCCCTCTCGCTACCTCTCTGGAATCAATAAAAATATATTTAAAAAATATGTAATGCACACTGAAGGCAAATTCTCCTACTGGCTGTTACCTGAGCAATGAGGTCCTTGTGCTTCTGCATGAGGTCATTCAGGTCATCCTGGTCCTCGTCAATGCGCTTTAGGAGGTTGGCTCTCTCAAACTGCAGCCGGTACAGCTGCTCATCCACCTGGCAGGAGGTGGGACAGCGGTCAGGGTGAGGCAGAATGGCGGGTGGGAGGGGACTGATGCACAGTAAAGAGGGGATTGCCTATGGGTGTGTCAGGTGAGTGGCCATGGGTGTGTTAATGCATACTGTGGGCATGATAGCTCCGTGTGTGTGTGTGTGTGTGTGTGTGTGTGTGTGTGTGTGTAAGGGGGTTAGGGGGGAGGGGGACAGGTTCCTCTTAATCTAGTGCAAATAAAATCTGGGACCAAGAGACCAGTAGGGATCTTGAGACAAGCTTTTGCTTATAAATCTCTAGTTATACCTAAACTTTAGGATTTTACACAGAAAGTATAAATTTAAACCAACCCTGTACACCCAGAGAGGCGACTTAGAAAACCATGCCAAATTTTCACCAACATTAATAGATCCATAACATATGTTCATTTGTCACCATTCAGAGGGTCCATAGTAGGTGGCAGGGTCCATAGTAGGTGGCAGGGTCCCTTACAGTGGTGAGCTAAGTGGGCCCATGAGGACTGCCTTTGTCTCCACTTATAAGAATGGGCATGCAATAGCCCAATGATAATGACCAAGGCCCCTCCTATGTTGGTGAGTGTACAGTAGGACTACAACAGTAGCCAGGGCACTGCCTACAGTGGTGAGCATGCTCTGGGTACACAACAGAAAGCTGTGTTCCCACTTAGGGTACTGAGCAAACAATAGGCTCATATCGGATGCATCCCCACAGTACTGAGCACACATCAGGTCTACAATTTGCCTGCCTTTGCAGAGTGAACACACAGTTGACCCTCATATATACCCTTGTGCCTTTATAATGCTCAGCTCCTAGTCAGATGCCTGCACTTTCAGAGTGTTAAACATCCAGTAGGTCTACAATGGATGTCTATGGGTGGTACCCAGTAAGCCCACTATAAGTGCCCTTTCCTTTTTATAGTGCTGAGCACACAGTAGGTCCAAGCTAGCTCAGAGGCCTGTGCTGGCCCAGATCCCCAGAGCTTCAGAAAGGACCAGGTACCAGGCTCTTGCTCCGGGTCATGTTCTCCAGCTCGCTGTGCATGCTCTCCAGGTCCGCAGTCAGCGCCTTCTGGGTCTTCAGGGCATCCTCACACTTGGCCTCACTCTGCTCCAGCTGGACCAGGCAGGAGGGCGAGAAGAAAAGAGAAGAGACCTCGTGACGCTGCCCTTTGACTAGCCTTCCCCTCCAGCCCAGCCCAGCCCCTCTCAGGCAGCAGAACCATTTACAGGCCACCTTCGTGTCTTCACAACTGTTCATCAACCTACGACTGGTGAAGCACCTGTGTTTGCATTTGAGGCAGCCCAGTTCTGAGCCCACTCAAAACTGAATAGGCACTGCCCCAGGAAATACGACCAGGCCACCCCAGCTTCAGTGCCAGGAGCAAGTCAATTCCCTTCAACAAATATTTGTTGACACCGCTGGAGTGCCAGGCACAGAGCATACAGGAAACTGTCACCTGATCCTGTGTCCTCCAGGGAAATAGGCAGGAACAGGTAATGAATACAGTTAAAAGGATGAGGGCATGGGATGCTTGGGAATACAGGATGGAGGTCAGGGAAGGCCTCCTGGAGGAGGTGCTTGTAGACAGTTCTTAACCAGAGTTGAGAACCCCTTTTCAAATGGTATGCAAACTATTCCTCAGGTGAGCATTTTCCTGGGCCCATGACTTTCACTAGATTCTCAAAGGTTAAGGGCCACCTACTTAAAGTTTCTCTTTCTCACCCCCTTTTCATCCTTCCACCCCCCTGCACACAGTAGGCCTGCTACCCTAGCAAAGTGGGGCCATCAGGAAGGTACCATTGCCCACGTGGCTCTAGACAACAGACAGTCCCCACTGGAAAAAGCCATGCCTGTGTACAAACCCTAAGTCTACTCTGTAATGGGCAGTTTCCCCTTGATTTCTGAACCCTAAAATCTGAGCAGAAAACGCCCTTAGAAATCACCTAAGGAAAGCACTGAGGGCTCAGAGAGGGGCAGTGCCTTGCCCGAAGTCACAGAGCTGCAAGGAGCAAAGACAACACTTGCACTGTCCAGACCAGTGCACTTTCTCAACTGCCAGCACATTGTCCCCTGGGAACAGTTAATGATGTTTACATTGGTGCTCAGTCCTGGACTGATGTGTGTACAAGCTAGAGTCCTGAGCCCACTGAGTGAGGGGGCCCCACTGATCTATAAAATGAAAACAATGGTGCCAACGAGAGGTCACCCCAGGACAATTGGTCAAGATGGGGGGCTCTATGGAAACAGCCACCTAGGACCATCTCAAGCTCCTTCCAAACTGGGCAGAGAATGTCTTCCTCAGAATGTCCAGGACCTCAGCTGGCCCAGATGTTAGAATAATAATAATGACAACAGAATGTCGGGGGAAGGGAGACAGCCATTAGTTTGATTATCAACAATAAGCACCCTGTTAAAGGTTCTCCTTGCATTTTCTCTTTTAATCCCTATCTTGGATCTGTGAGATTAGTATATACAGCTAATATTCCCATTAAAAATTTCATTGAATTTATTGGGGTGACAGGTGAGGAAACGGAGACCGTAGCCCACTCCCACAGCATCCTCATACTGGCACCTCTAGTTCCGGCCCCATCCTGCCGCCCGCCACCATAATCCACCAAACCCGTTGTCAAGACCTAGAGAACAGTGTGTTCCTGCGGTTGGGCTTGGAGCAGAGCCTGTCGGAGAAGGACTTGGTGGTCCATTTCCTTTAGTGATTAGGAGGGACTGAGACACACTGAGAAAAATGATGTGGAGCAAGGGGAGGTAATTGGCATTGTTAGAGCGTAATTGACAGAGGACATGAAAAGGCAGGCACAGTCTTATCTTCCCGCAGGCAGTCTCCAGGAAGGCAGGGAGCCGGGATGAAGGGCTCCCCCTCCACTCTGCAGGCAGGCAGGGCTACACCAGCCCTTGATTCGTGCACAAGTGAGAGGCCTCACTAAGGAGAGGCATTGCAGCTAAGACCTAAAAGATGCAAAGGAGACAGACAGCCATAAGCAGACTTAGAGGTAAGAGAGCCCTGGGTGGAGGCAATAGCAAGTGCAAAGGCCCGGAGGCAGGAGCAGGAATAAACTTGGTGCTGAGGCAGAAAAAGAAAGCCCGTGTGGCTGGACGGCTGGACAGAGAGGGGCAGGAGATGATGCTGTGAGCCAGGATGCACAGGTCGGTGTATTTTCAGTCTGCAGGGAAACCACTGGCGGTTTCGAAGGAAGAGAGTGGCATGGCCTCCCTCTGGCTCTGCGGGGAGGATGAGCTTTGGTGGACAAGCCTGGAAATCGGGCGGCCGGTGAGGACACTGCTGTGGTCCTCCCGGTAGGAGTGGTGCAGGTGCTCCGATCAGAGTGGAAGTGGAGAAGAAATGGGAGGATTTCACTGTGGAGGAGCGTAAAGAACAAAAGGTCTGGGCAGGCAGCAGCAGACGCGCCATCCGGGGAGATGATGTCAGAGAACTAACAGTGGAAGACAGAGGCATCACGCAGGGCCCCGCTGCCGGGCCAAGTTGCTCGGCCCAGTGACAGGAGGCGAGTGAGGACCATTGTAAGAAACTCAGCCAGCGGGGCGGAGCCGAACAGGATGACTGCCGTTCCCATCTGCTCATTCCTCCTCTGGCTGAGGGTTTCATCAGCGCGGCGCCATTGGTCCTCACAGCCACCAGAGAAAGATGGCTCTATTTTTAACCCCACTTTATAGATGGTGGATGTGTATGATCCAGGAATGCTTTCCTTTCCCCATCTCCCTGGAGCAAGCAGAGAGAGAGGGACCAATTATCCGCAGGCAGAGATGAATGGAGCGAGCACACAGTCAGTGGAGGTGGCTGTTGGCGGATTTTTAGCTCCTCCTGGGTTAGGATGGGATTATGTTGGCCAGGATGGTTTTGGCATCGATGGCCACACCTGCTACTGTTGCTTGGGGACCATTTGCTGTGCACTGCGCTTCATAACAGCCCCTCAACACCTCTAGGAGGAAGGGGCCACCAGGAGGACCAGTCGATCTAAGAGGAAACTGAGGCTCACAGCGGGGAAGTGACTTGCCCACAGTCACACAGCTGGTCGGGAGGTAAGCTTGGTTGGTCCAACTCCAGAGCCCGACCTCTTCACTGCTGGGCCCCACCACCCTTCTCTGCTAAGTCCGACCCTGCTGTCGGATGGATTACAATACAGAACTCAATCGCAGAGCGAACTCTCCGTGGCTCGGTGTGATCGCGGAAGCCACCAGGATAGTCGTGCCGGAATCAGGCGGAGGCGTGTACAGTGAGACGTGGAGAAATCGGAGAGAACGGAAAGAACTTGGAGTTTGGATCAATGTGGGAGCCTCAAGGAAACACACATTGTCACAGAGATGAACAAGTTCAAACCAAAGGGAAGAGGAAGGACCAGCACGTGTGGCCACTCGTCCCGTGCCAGATTCTACCGTGTGCGGCGGTCAGAGCTCAGGCACTGGAGCCAGACTGGCCTCTCCCAGCCAGTCATTTAACCCTGGCCGTGCCTCAGTTTCCCCATCTGTAAAGTGGGGAGGGTGGATCATAGGATCTCTGCAGGATAAATGAGTAAATACAAGGATGTGCTTAGCATAGCGCCTGGCACTGAGAAAACAGGGAAAAAGCGTCGGTGGTAGTTGCTATTATTCATTCCTTTCACCCTCTTAACAGCCCGAACAGTGGGATGTTTAACACCGTTTTGAAGGTGAGGAGCCTGGAGAAGAAGCCAAGCTGTCGGGGAATCAAGGGAGGGGCACCCCAGAGGCACACAAGTCAAGCAGGCCCAGACTGTCACAGGTTCTGGATGGGCACGACCAGAAACTGCCCAGCCCCAGGCCTCCACCGGGCGGGCTCCAGGCCGCTGACCACCAGTCATCTTAATGCCGAGCTTTAAAAATGTTCAATTTATTACACTTTAGGGAGCGGGAAAAATACAGGGTCGTCTGGGGCTGATTTTCCGTTATGGATGACCTGGCGTAAGAATAACTCACTGCACATTATATCCATATTGAGGCTGTCTGATGGACGTTTTTATGAAGTCGGGCGGCGAGTTATGTGGGGCTGACATCAGAGGCGGCGGCGGTGTGAGCCTGCCTACCACTGCCCGGAAAGCCCTCCCCGGGAGGAGGTCTGGGTGCATCAGAGGGCAAAGGGCAAGAGGACAGCTGGCTCACAGGCGGCTCCTCGGGAAGGGAGACTGGGTCCATCCTTGGCCCTGGCAGCCAGGGTAGTAATGGGCATCCCGGGTGGCAGCTGCCACCACGAACGCATTCCCAGGGGCTCATCGATGCTGAGTCTGTGAAGTCGACTCGGCTACTTGGTCTCTGAGCTCTCGTTTCCCCCACTCACAACATGGGGGAAAGAACAGTTCCCCCTCATTGAACAGGAAGCTGCGGGCAGTTGTGTTAGCTGTGCACACACCTAGAGCGCACCTAGGGAACACCACGCACGCAGGTTCCTCTGGGCCAGGCCCGCTCTGAACACTTTTCATGCAACAACTCACTTCACCACCACAAGAGCATGCTGAGGTGGGGTCAGAACCATCCCTGCTGGGACAGCTGAGGAAACTGAGGGACAGAGAGGTCAAGTGACTTAATGAAGGTCACACAAGAACGAAGCGGCAGAGCTGGCACATGAACCCAGGTGGTCCGGCCACCACGCTCCCCTCTGAGCATTACATGTATGCCCACCATATGTGCTCTGCAGGGGAAGCCGGGGACGTGACCACACGGTGGCTCCTCCCCCTTGTTTTGATAGCAGCAGCATCTTCCCTTTAAGAAGTGGATCTGTTGGGGCTGACCCTCTCTTCTCAAGCCCCAAGGAGATGCATCTGACTCAGCCGCGGCCAATCAGAGCACCACCTCCCGTTGGCCACGCTGGCTGGTTGCAGGATAGCAGTATGGCTGGGACTGTGGGAACAAGGTCAGCGCTTTCTGATGCAGCAAGTCAGCTGAGAATATGGGGCCCTCTTCGCACCATGAAGGAAGAGACTGCCTAAGAATACCAAGCGACATCAAGATTGCTGAGGCAGGAGACACGTTGTTGACGACACGATTGGAACACCTAGATCAAACCAAGCCTGAAGGCAGTCTTGGCCTCAGAACTTTTCAAATATTTGGCCACTAACTTCCCTTTT